GTGTCCAAAAAAAACAAACACTTATATGTGAACATCTGTCATATTGGTTATCTGGAGCAGGGAGTAAAATCAACTCCTCATGCAAATGTAATATCAATCATGTGTTTAAGACTCAACTCAGAAAAATATGTTTAACCCTGTCAAGAAGAGGAACTAAATTCAGTGCCTGATTTGTCAAAAGGTTCTTGGTCCCCTGGGGAGGTTCCTGCGGTGGAAATGTCTCCCCCAAAAAACATTTTCATTTGCTTTCACAAATCATCGTGGTGGTAAGTGTTTGAATTGTTCCCCAGCAATCTGTTATGAGTCGACGACACGCTGCTCTCACAGAAATAAAGAGGCCAGTAAGTACATGCTGCCCTGTGGTTCAGAAAGTTTAACACTACAGTATTTCAGGTCTAGAGTGAGAAAATTCCTTGCTGAGGAAAATATAAGTGACACTGGTACCATGACTAACTGCTGTGAAAATGGAAATGGCAGAGAAACCCAACAGAGGGAAGATATTGTTTCAGATGGGGGACCTGCAATTAAACTTAATGAACATGAAAAACTGGTTTGCAGTTCGCTTTGCTGCAGAAAATGATAAACGATGGGTTTCAAATGGGCAAGGCAATTACCAACAGGCACTATAGTAAAGAGAAATGAAGATTTTATATAATGTAAAAGAATCTGAATTGTCTCATTAGTTAACTCACAAGGCATTGTTTTTGAGTAAAAAAGTACAACAATTATTCTGTATTAAAGACTTCTTCCTTGACCTGAAGACACAAGATAGTTTACTCGTGATGGACCAACAAAAATTTATATCAGCTCAGTTGTGCTTAATGCAGAACCATGTTTAAAATCGGACCATTTAACAATGCAGTCTGGTATTCAGTGAAACTGCGGTAATCCTTAAGTTCTTAGCTGAGCCAGGCCGTGACATCAGCTCAGAAACATCAGTGGTGTTGTATTTTGGTAACCCATGACAAGAGACATCAGTGAGCAGCCTCGAGCATCAGCTTGTCAGAAGCAGTAAAACTGAGGATCACTCTTCCAAATCAATGTGCCAGAGCACTTGTTGGAGTCCAATCTCAGTATTTCATTTGATCTCCAGGAAGCTCACCGTTCAACATGCCTTCAAACAGCATGCAGAGACATTCTCTGGGTTCTCTTAATTAATAAAGAAAATAATAAACTTATTAAAAGCCAAAATTTCCTTGTAATCCCCAACTTTTAACAACTCCTACTTCATGATTAAATCATTTTGATAGGAGACAGTAAAAACGCAATTTATTTCCTCTTTAACGTAGAAAAATAAAGCCACAGTACAATTTTCTCTCAAGCCATTTATTCCTCCTCATGTACGTCTAAAATGTGGCCTTTTGTGATGTTAGGTGTGAGACAATTCAGTCATGCAATTATCTGGGCATAGGGATAGACTAATCTCTCCAGTGACAATCAATAAAAAAGCTGACATGTAATGGATTTCTATAAAGGAGTAAGTCATGTCTCTCCAGTAAACACATGAAAAGCATAGTATAAGCCTTTAATCTGCCTGTAATAGGCTTCAGTAAAATCTTATCCATGCTTGGTGCACCATTGGTTCCTATATGCAGTATTATGATGTTACTTTATATTATTAAGCCTCTATTGAGAGATTAAATGAGCAATCAAACCGGAAAAGACTGCTTGTATGCTGCAGCCTGGGTTTGTAAATGTGGGTTGCTAAATGACTTGCAGAGGAACCAAGTTACGTTAGGTGACTGCAGACACAGAATCTGAGGATGCATCTGAAATCACCAGACCACTAAGCACTCCAGCTGGTTGGGTGGTGCTTGGTTTTGGATCTGTCATTTTTAACATGATGGCCGGCCCAGAAATGTTTACATACAGTAATACGGCTAAACTGTACCCTAAAATATGTTCTTGAAAATATCTGAGGCAAGAAGTAGGCAATGCAGTAACAGAATCCTTTTGTTATTTCTGACTTTCAGCTCTCTTGCAAAATAACCTTGCAAGGCAGTTGGACTACTGGCAGCTATGGTGGCATCACAGATAGGATTCTGAAGAGCAGTTAAGGAAGCTCAGACTGTGGTCAGTCTGATCGTCAACTCCGCTGGCATCTAGCTAATCCAAAAATGGGGAATGGGGAACGTGGTGTAGATGCTGCTAGAATCACTTATATCAGAACTGGAGGGTATTTCTTCATTGAAAGAAGAGCAAAGAACGGGACTGATGTGGCTTTTCTCGATTTAGAAGATGTTTTCACTCTTCTCCCGACTAGCTTTGGAAAGAATTTGACTACGTTATATGGTTTGTTGATCTGATTGGTTTCAGTTCACCTGTAATAGACAGTGTTAGGTGCCAAGTGCCTGTTTTTTTCTGAACTCTTTCCAATGATGACCCAGATTGTGTAATAAACCATCTGGGGCAGTGAGGTTACTTTCAAAAGCCACTAGCCACAATGTGATCGTCTAGTTAAAATTAGAGCATATGAATCAACAAAAAATAAAGTGACTTAAAGCACATGTGTGGTCTGCACCATTGCCATGTTTAGTCGACAGTCAGTAAGTACTTTATATGCCTGCCACAGCCTCAGATGATAAAGATTCTGTTTTTTTTTTTTTAAAGCAGTTGCAGTTTTTTTTTTTCTTTTTTAAGTAACAAGCTCAGCTGTGATCCTCTGCCTCTCTTCGTGAATTTCTGTCTTTGTTCTTTTGACTCGGGGAGAAAACAATGCTCCAGTACTGCCAGGGTTTTTACAGAGAGCCACAGGAAAAGGAGAGGAGGAAGGAAGAACATTTCATTATGGAATTCATCTTCTTTGGTGGTATATTATATCCTCAACATGAAGGAAGACATCAATCATTCCGCAGAGTTCAAGTAGGCCATTCATGTCCCTGTGAGCCTCTTTCTGCTCAATGAATGAGAGGCTTTCACAAACCTTTATGAGCTCTTGCTTGTGACCTGTAACAAGGCACATGTTTGCTGTAAGGTTGAGGTGAAGGTCCAGGCAGTTTCAACATTGTCAGGTTCATAGGGTGTCTTCATAAAGCTGTTGGGTCAATAATGTGGCCATATATGTTGGTGAAAATGGTTATAGTGCATTTGTATTCTGCTGGCAGAGGGCAAGCAGGCAATCTTTCCTAATCACTAAAGCTATCAAGTCTCTTGAGCCAAGCACCTCATGCTGACAGGGTTTGCTGATGGGCTACCAGCCACGGTAAATCTACTTTCCACTGTCTTCATACACACATTGCCATGGAGGTGAAAACAATTACATAGTGAGTTCTTTGGTACCCTTTGCAATCATTGAATTTTCATTATTAAATTACACAGGATTATGGATAATGTATAGGTCTGTCAAAAAGAAGAGATTTGAATTCAGTATTGGACTGCATACTGAGCAGATTTTTTCACCTTACAACAGCACAAACTATCCTAAAAACGGTAGGTTAAGTCAAAGCTTGTCCTACGTACTCTACATGCAAACATCTGATGCTAAAATGCTGCAATCCACAAGTCAAAGCGGTCACTCCTTGCTAAATTTCACTTGAGCTTTCACTTGAATTGGCCCTTTTTTCATGGTGGGCTGCACATTGCTGCACTGGAGTGACAATAAACATTTTGAATCTTCAAACAAAAAAGCTGTATGCTGATTCCAATATCTGCAAAGGTCTGCACAAACAGCTAGTCTGCAGAGGCTGCCAGTATTTCTTATTAACATTATTAAATATTATTTAAGACACTTTAAAATGGATGTGAAAGAAAAACTACCCGAACATTCCTCTATGAATTTATCATAAAAAAGACTATATAGTAAGATTATACAATCATGCTAGTGGCTCTGGAGGCTACTTGTGCTTTGAGCTAAGTGCTAACATCAGCATACTAACATGCTCACAATGAAAATGGGAGGCTGTTGATGTTTGGCAGGTACAATGTTCATCACATTCACCATCTCAGTTTAGCAGCTGAGGCTGATGGGATTAGGAATGCCATTAGTTTTTAGTCATAAATCAAAGAACTTGATAATTTGACCTAATGATGGCGCTCGAGATAAGTACAGGACATCAAAGTTCATATTTTGGGGACTGGAAGTGTCTGTACCACATTTAATAGTTTTTGAGTTACTTCAGTCTGGACTGAACCAACTGACCAACCAAATCGACAGATTGACATTGCTCGTTCCTCTTCTTCTGTTTCCTGAAGCCGTTGTGTCTTCATCCCCAGAATAGTCATAATAGTCCTGGTCTGAGCCGCTGTAAATCAGCACTACCTCAGTACTTTATCATGCATCAGCGTTTTGATGTCCACACATACACATAGACAATTCAGTAAAACACACAATGATCAATGCAAAAATAATTGGCATGAGATCTATTGAAGCTCAGAGATTCATGCAATGAATTCATTTCATGTCTGTCATATGGAGTTTACACTGAAAGCATATGCATTTGGCAACATACTAGTGTAGCAGGAAACCTGCACTAGCATATTAATCTCAGATTGTGCAAAGAAGCGCTGCACTATACAGAGAATATCTTATAGCAGGATTCAGCGAGACCCAGAGGGTTTGCCTTATCTAAAATGTGCAAAGTGCATTCTGTGCTTTGAAAATAAACTGCAAGAAGAGGAGAGTCTTCTCTTCACGGTAGCAGAAAAATGTGTACCAAAACATCCCATCATTCTCTCCGTATGACCTCTGCAGGGATTATAACACCAACTGTGTGCAATGACTGATACATGTGATGCTGGATCCTGCCTCGTCAGTCCTGCTCAGCAGCGTCATAAACGTGGCAATGGAATTTCAATGCTTCTTGTCTGATACATGGGGAGCTGTTATTGAGTATTGATGGTTCACAAGAAAATGGTAGAACTATCTTTTCCTCAGCTCACTGCATACATTGGCTGTTATAAATTAGAATCTGACATGACTTGATTATGCTTCCTGCCTGTTAAGACAGCACCGTGGCTGCAGATCCCAGCGGGTGCGTTTCTCCTTCTGTAAGCAGTCTTACCTGCTAATGAGAAGGATGGTGAACACGGTCCCTCCAGAAACAGAAAAAGCCATGGCTGCTGACAGAGTGGAGACGCCAGGTGGAATTTATCTGCAATAAAACCACACAAGGGACAAAAAGATGCAATTTAGAGGGATGCAAGAGATGATAGTAGATTCAGCAAACATGGATTTTGTTCCCTTTGAAAACAAGATTGTTTGATGCACATCAGCAAGGATATGAGATTGTGTTGATCCAGAGGCTCCTACATATTACCTTTTCAGGTGCAGTTTTCAAACTGAATCAGCTGGCACACATCCCAGATGGTCTGTGACCCCTTTCCTATTTTAATGTTTACAGTCTACACTTCCAAAACTATTCTTTTTACTGAGATATCCGTCACCTAGGTAACAATGGTTTCTCTGTGACACTTGGTTCACAGATTCTTTTACACACACTGAAATGTAGAACCATTTTTTCAGACGTATCTAAATCACACAATAGCAAGAAACAGCACCGACACGCCTGAAGGACATTCTCTCAATAGCACAATGACCTCTTGACTTCATCCCAACTCCAAGTCTGGCACTGTAAGCTCCAGATTTGGGTAAAAAGTAATAAAGCATATTGCCTTGTCCTTCAAAGAGAGTCATCTCGCTTCCTGTATCTGTCTTCACTTTCTCTCTCTTCCTCATGCATTTTTTAAGATGAAAGCAGACAGAAAACCTTCAGAGACCACAATGACTTAACCACAGAGACCGGACTAATGTGGACGGCAAGCTGGGCTAAGGAAATATTTAATGTAAAGTTGAAAGCAAACTTCTGTGGCTGTGATGTTAAAAGTGGCTTCACAGTGGTGCAGGCTTGAATACAGTCAGACCTGTTAGTGGTAATGTTACCACTTTGGCTGTAGCTTGATTACACACAGTGTGTGGTTCTGCAGCAGGTAAGACATGGCATTATCGCTGCTCCGGTAAACAGCACTACCGACAATGCAATTTACCACCATGTCTATAATGTCTTTATGTACTCATGGTAGTCTAAGTAGGCTAAGCTGCTTTGGGCAGATCTCCTGACATTAATTCTCAGTGCACCAACTCTGCACAAGCTACACTTTAGGTAGCCAAGCAAGCACACATCATCAACCAATAAAATGCTGCACATAGCTACTATTAGGATACTGAGAAACTAATCAGAGCTGGAGAAAGCATCACAAAGATACAGTATGGCCCTTGTGTCTTTGCTGCCAACATTGTCACCATGGACATGCAATAAATGACATGAGTGTTCCTGACAGAAATGTTTCACTGACTGCTGATGAACAGCTATACATTATGACTCATGAGTAACTAAGGTAAATAATGCATGCAGTCTAAATTCAGCATACATTTTTCCATGAAAATGTCCCTCTTTTTATATGTATTCACTGAATCATCCTGTAATACTGAATCCTACAATCACATAGGGTAAGGGTTATTAGTAGTAGTTTCTGTATTTTTCCTTTGTTACAGGTATAGTATAGAAAAAGAAAATAGAAAAGAACATAGCCAGTCGCTTTTAACCATCCATCACACACCGACCCCAACAGCCACACCAAGGTTTTCATTGGGGGAATATTTCCCTTTATAGCGATAGTCCCTTTATTTGTGTTTTCTGGTGACATGTCCTCAGCCATTAGTAAATTAAACAGTCTATTTAGCGTTTTTAATATAATAATATTAAAAAAAACCTGTATCGCTCACGTGAAGAAGCAGCTCTGTACGTACTTTATGTGGTAGTCCAGTAGGGTGAGCTAAATGAGTAAGAAAGGACATTACATGAATCATTTACTCTCCTTTTAAATTTACAGCTGCTGCTAGAGCAATGTTTTTGCAATACTGTACATTAGCAAGAAAACAGGTCAATTAGCAAATTTCCACTGCGCCCACCTCCACACTGACCTGTCAGTCACACAAGACTGAGCTAATGACTGAGTGTGCTGCATTTACACCCCAGGGTGATGGTGGTCAATGAAGAATGTAAAATAAACAAATATGTATAAAAGTGTTATTTTTGGACTGATGCACTGGAAACAGTATAACACTGGGCTGCGAATCAAACCCACTCAGTGAGCAGCAGAGTTTGGGGAATTCTTGGGAATGTATTTTCAGCTCTTTTCAAAGAAAATATTGAACTCTAAAATATTTTAATACAAAATACATTTAGATTCCTCCATTTCTGAATACAAATTATAAGGTTTTATTTTTTATGTTAAATGCTTCAATTACTGTTCATCTTCCCCAGCAATTTATGCTTGGACCCCTACAGGGGAATGCCATTATAAATGATTATCTAAATATGGTCTGGTAATGCATTAGAAGGACTGAGTGGCACCCACTCACATGAAAGTCATTCAGTCATTGCATTCCAAGACATTACGGAAACCTGGAGTACAGCAACCCCTTTTAAAACCTGCTTTAAAAAATTCAAGATTCTGGGTGTAAGGTGATATATGTACAGCGTGTGTAATACTGCTGCTACAACCGTGCTTTTTGGAGTGGAGAGCATCCTGAAAAGAGATCATTTGCATGCTCCAGTGCATATATGGCAGTATCATATGTTGATCCAAATTAGTTTTTATTCCAGACACAGGACACAGACTTGTAACCAGCTGACAATATGCAGACCAATGCTTCCAGAACAATGCATGGATGTTAATCATCTCTTGGGTGTCATGGGCGACAAAATAATGACAAAATTCATCCATCCAGTGGCTGCTGCCCAATAGGGGTGCTAGGGTGCAGCCCCACCACTCCCCAGAATTGAAATATATATGTGTGTGTGTGTGTGTGTGTGTGTGTGTGTGTGTTTGTGTGTGTGTGTGGCTGCAGAGAGCGGGTGGCTCAAGGTACATCTAATGCGCCAGAATGAGTTGGAGAAGCTATGTGCAACAGATGGAGAGTTTAATTTCACCAGTTTAAATAGAGACAGAGAGTCAGTTAAGTTATTCAATATTCTGGCATTTTGAAAGAAGAACATTATAAAAAAAGCTTAGAGTCAAATAGCTTAAGCATTATAATTCAACAACAAAGACAGAGGAAGACAATATACTCTCTGTGGAGAACATAGTGGCAGTGTATCTCAGCAGCACCTGGGCAAGAAACACAGCACTCTGGGCCCAGGTGAACTCCAGAGGCTAGGTGCTGGAGTGAGCAGTGGTGCTATTCAGATCCCTTACTTAAAGCAGTAACAAGGGACTTTCATTCTGTGTCGATTCTGGCAGCCCCTGTGGAAAAAACGGTAGTCTTGTTTAATTGATTTCAAGGGGAATCCAACAAATCCGACCCGGTGGCAGCCAGGCAGTAATTGCCAATCTTCGCGGTGTGCTTATGTGGTTCATACAGAGGCATCAGTATTAAACTGAGACTGATTTATAACCAGTTAAAAGTCCAATGTGTAATTATACAGAAACGAAAACATACCTCTGAATATCATATAATCTGCCAATAGATCCTCCTAATGTTACACACTGTACCTTTAAAAACTCCTTGTAGTAGGTTAAAGTTAAAGTAATATTCTACCACATTGAAAATACTCTACTACACGTACCAGCCCTGCATTAAAAGTATGATCTAAATCTAAGTATGATCAGTAAAATGTACTTAACTTTAGTTATAGTGCAGTAAAATGGTCCCTGTCAGTGTGTTACTATTAAATATGATGTTTTCTATTAAAATCAGTGCTGCTATAATATGTGTGTTGCATTTTACCACTGTAGATGTTTATGGTTGAGCTAATTTGAATTATTTTATTTATTTACTGTTCACATTCTAAGATCATCATATGTTTGTCCTGTCCGTCGAGAACATATCTCTAAAAGGTCAACTTTTCATGAGCTCAGAAAAGTACAAATAAAGGCCTTTTCATATATTTAAATACAGGTCCTGTGGTACTTTAGTACATCTTAGTACACCCCCCCGAGAAAAGAATCACCAGCTGCCACTGCTACTGCTACTGCCATAAAAATCATTAGACACAAGATTGTCTGTGTCACTGACTGTATATGGCCTAGCTGCTCAGTGAGTGGATCTGATGGGTCAGACAGTAAATGAGAAAATACATAATTTATTTTTTTGTTTTCTCACCATCTGGTGTAATTGGATTCCTCTGTCACTGTCTGTGGATAACTTTTTCATCTTTTGGCAGAAGTACATAAATTACACTGCTTTCAGCCTTTGTGGCCTCTTTCATATTTAGTAGGCAGACCAAAACACACATGTAAACAGATGCAAAACTGCACACGTAGAGAGATTGCTGCTGACTATCAATGTTTTAACCCTATCTTCAAAGTACCATTTGCTTACATGTAATTTTAAGAGCTGATACCATGATTTATCAGTGCCCCAGGTTATGCATAACACTAATGCACAGATATCTCCACTTTTCAGCCTATGTTTGTCTGTTAAATCTGCCCTGGCATCCGCCCGGGCTCAGTGACCATCCTGATGAAGGACACTCCAGCGTGGAAGGATGGCTAACAGCCCTCAAAAGTGAAGCATTTCTTTAAAGTGTGACTCTTAACTGTTGGAAATTTGATTTTAAGCTGACTTGAAAAGGGCAGCAGCAAATATAAAAAGATATGTCAGGCAGAACTGAGTCACTTCATCTAATTCCTTGGCTGTTCTCTCCTTTGTTGCTCTTTAAAGTACTTATTCTAGGCATTCTGTGTGAGTCACATCAATGGCATATCAACCTTTGTGGCCTCTGAGCTGCTAGTCCATACGCAAATTCACCCCTTCTCTCGGTTATTCTCATTTCTCTCTGTCACAGCCGTGAAGTACCGAATGATGATTTCTGTGGTTATTTTGTCTTGTGTTTCATCAAAGCGTTGAAATATACAACAAAATAGCTTTTCCTGCCTGAATATTTTTTGATGGGTGCCTTAAAGTGTAACCAGCTTAGCAAGCCATCACTGCCCTGATGAAAACAATGTATTCATATGTGAACATATCTTGCACAAGTTAATAATGGTTATACCATGTTATCATGCCACATGGTATAACAAAGCTGCATTTATTCACCTTTTTAAAGTTAAATGGGCCTCCTATGTAGTCTTTATAGTTTTTTTATAA